TCCTCGAGATCGCGCGCGCGCCTCCCGCCGGATTTCCCGCCCTTTCGTCCCATCTGCTCTTTGTTATATTCTTCTCTTTTAGCTCTCAACTTTCGCATATATCCGCTTCGAAAACGCACTCGCTGCCTACATGGTAGGTGTCGAACTACGATGATGACCTGGTGATCAGCGTCATGTGGTCCTACTAGCCTGCTCATTGGAATTGCGATATCGCGGCGCTCCGAAGGGAACGAGGCGCAGGTTTCGGGTCCGGCCGTGTTGCTGCCACCGAAACACCGAGGGACCGGCCGGTGCTTTGCTGCCCATTCTGTACGCCAAAGATGAAGGCTAGTCTCGAGGGCATCACCAAATCAACACGACATCCGACACAACGCAGGCGACATGCATCAGCATTCATGAATTGCAACAGTTCGTGTCGCTTCCAGCAAGACTCGCATAACGGGAATCTATCCTAAAGTTTTTTTCTTACAAGTCTTTCTTCCATCTCTTCGGTGATAACGATTCCGGGATAATGAGGCTTTAGAAGAGAATGAAACATGTAAACACGCTGTAGTCCGGAAGAAAAAAAAACGATTTTTTAATGAATCAGAGTGACTACGACAGCTTATAATTTGACCCTCTGGCTCATTTCCGCGAGTTTGAATGTTTCTGCATGACAATTTATGTATATGTTGCGTGCCAATTGTTTAAAAGTGTGCATTCTGCTCTTATCGCTAAATATATCCCGTCTATAATGTTATCAGGCATTCGTATAAATGACAAACCTTGGTTCAGCAAGAACCTGAGGTATCTCCCTAATAAAAAGCTACGTTACTTATAACGTACAAGAAAGCAATAAATCGGGTAACAAAAAGTGAGCTCAGATGCCTTCATCATGTTTTTTTTTTTTTAAGTTGGAGAAGTGAAACAGCATTTTTACTACTCTCGGTCCTAGGTTGGTTAACAACCCAAAGGAATTATCGAAAGTTGTTAAAAAATCGAGAAATGATTAATACGTAGGCATACCACCCATTCTTAACACCAATGAACAGACTTCGAATGACTTGGAAATGGTAACTTGCTTTACTTTCAATTCATTTTCTCCAGTACAGTTGAGAACATTACACCACAATCGTCGGAAACAAATCACAGAATATGATTCCTTGAATCGTGCTCTGTGAGTTGTGGTTTTATATGTAACGTGTGCGATCTGATTGACTTCGGAGTGTCAGCGGTTGAGTGATTCTTCTGGTTTGCCGCTCAACTGGAGCACTAGTCCTTCAATTTTGGGCCGTTCAACTTGTATTTCCTTGCCCTAACGCTTTACTTGATGAATTTGCGGTTGTGGTCAGGTCTTTTCTTGGACGATATGATCAGTAGTTGAGACGTAATAAAATATAAGGAGAGATCTATTTCCCAGATGTATACTTCGACTGCTCTGCAGCTATGGTAATGAGTGTTCCGGCATTGTCCGGGGATTCCTCGTGAAATCCTTAACGTTATGCCATCCAGGTAAATAGAGTGGTGTAGACCGGGGATCTCGTTCAGCTGTTTTGGTAAATCTTCCATATAGCGAGGTTGAATAGTGTGAAGGATATAGTTGAAACCTTGCGGTGTTCCCCGGTCGAGATATTTTATTTGCTTCGTTGGGCATGTTTCTGGAGGCCTTCCAGTTTGGAGGGAATGGTGCGCGCAAGTCTACATTCGATGTCCTCATTCCGTGTTGGCGATATTGGGCAGGATTTCTTCGTGTTTGAGGTTGTCATATATGTTGCGTATGTAGAATGCTACCATGCCTCTTAGTGAACTTGATTTGGGCCTATATGTACGCCATGTTGTAGGCATATGAGTGTATGCGGGGTGTATATGGGTATGTCTTCTGAAGGCTATTTAAGTTAGGCCCAGGTCGTTTCTTGGTTTGAGGTGTCATTCCAACCAGGCCAATATGATTTTTCCATTACCTTTCCTATACAAGAAATGAGGCAGATAAGTCTGAGATTTCTCAATAGTTTGGGCTTTCCTTGGTTTGGGTATGAAACAAATGGTGGTATACTTCCATTCAATTAGCAGTTTCCCGGTCGACCATACGTGATTGTATAGGTCGAGGAGGAGCAGGAGGAAAAAACTTGTTAAGGTTTTTGCTGTTGAGATTTTTTACGACTTTGCATGTCGCGAAGTAGTTACCAAGGTCTAGTGCTGCGTTTTATACCTGCCGGCGCTTGCGGAGTTACTCCGTAGTGAGGTGACTATCTCGTGTGGTGGCAAAGCAGGATGACAGGCTGCGGTTGGGAGGACTTTCTACTTTCAGGGAAGTAGGTCTCCAAAGTTTTCTGTCCAGGTCGTTTTTTTTTTTTTTTTTTTCTTGTTTTTTTTTTGAGGGGGGGGGAGACATCTCCCCGTGTCATTTGGATTCTGGTTAAAAAGTCTCACGTGACTGTTCGCTTGAATTATGCTTAGGAGTAGTGATCAAACGTTTTGGGTGGGCATGTGGGTATTTAAGGAGTCGGATTGTTGCCACCAGTTTTTATGTGCCAACTTGGTGGCATAATCTTGGACCTCTTCGGTCATGAGCTGTATTTGTTTGTTGAGGTTCCTATGTGTTTTTTTCCCATATCTTGACGAGTGCCCGCAAAGTTTTCCATTGGGTTAGCATATTTGGGTTCATGTAGGAGTGTCTGGAGTCGTATGGATACAGATTGTGTGTTACACGGTCTTTTGAAAATTTTCTTTCCCCATTTGTTCGGGTTGTGAATGCTCAGTTTAGGTGATGGTTCCTGGCGTTTTTTCTCAGTCTGTAATAACGTTTTGTCGGGGCTCATGGTTGCCTTTTTTATTTATTGATACTACTATCTCCTTCGGGAGATGTGGATGGAGGGGGTACATAATGTTGTATAAAGGCATACATTTCTACTCCTTTTAGCATACTTGAATAAGGCAATCAATGTCATCATTATACAGTATTGAATAAAAATTAAAGCAAAAAATAATCAACAACAAAAAACCTACAAGAAATACCATCAATCGCAGTAGTGACAGAAACTGCGGAGGTTAGCAATAAGTGATGACTCAGATGAAGGATTTATTATATGACTGGGTAGGGCATTCCAATCATGAATGGTTTTTGGGAAAAATGAGGACTTAAATACCTCAACCCTACAGCTCTATTCTTGTAATGATCTAAAATGGAAATTTCGTGTAGAGTAATTATGAAGAGCAGGTGAAATATATGTAAAGGCGTCAATATTAAATCGGTTCTTTGGTATTTAGAGCAAAAAGTTCAATATTCGAAACCTGCATCTATGGGTTAATGGGCTAATGCTGGAACACACATTTAGTTGAAAAACCGGGTATTGTCTCTTAAATTTGTTGAATATGAAACGCAAGCCTTTTCTCTGATTGGATTCAAATAAATTTATGTTGGTTTTAGTAAACGGGTCCCAGACAACGCACGCACATAGGCAGAACAAACGTTTTATAGGCTGTTAATTTTACATCTTATGAGGTTTGCTGTAAATTTCGCCGGAGAAACCAGAGCTTAGTTAATGCCTTGTGAACAATGTACTTAGTATGGGTGTTCCACGACAGGTCGTTTGAAATGATTACACCGAGGTATTTATAGGAAGTCACTTCGGTTAAGGGCAGTATTGTTAATGGAATAATTATAGGAAAGAAAACTAGTTTTCTTTGCTATAAAATTTGTGGTCCGGGGTGTCGAAACGGATATTATATTCTGATCGTTACCTAGGTTCTTCTCCGTATAGTCCCACGTCAGATGAGCCGTACCTTTTGCAGAATGTTAAGCCTCGGTTTATGTCCCGCTGCGCGGAGTTACCAGTACGAGTGGGTCGAGTTAAGTTGTTTAGTAGAACTTACTAGCTTGATGTTGCGCTTCGTCGAACATCCTGCCTTCGGAGTAGGTTTTGGGGTATTCCCGTGCCACGCGTTGGCAATTCCTCATCAAAAATAGGTTCTGATGTGTTATGGAGCCCTCTCAGTCCTTCGAGCCCCCTCAGACCATCAGACCCCTTCAACCCTTCAAACTCTTCAGACCCTTCAACCGTTTACAGTCACTTATGACCCTTCAGCCATTCAACTCCTTAGACGCCTAAATATTTGAGAACCATACACCGAACATGCAGGTGTTGAGAGTGTAATATAAAGTTTATTTTAGAAATTAAATTTTACAAACATGTTGAAACTCAGAAAGACGGTAAGAACCAACGTGTTCTCAAACCTGGGTACAAGCACTTGTAGAGAGAAACGACTACACCAAATAGCGGCGACTGAGTCCTTTGTCTCCAAAATATTTGTCGAGGAACTCGCAATGTCGCCGAGTAAACTCCTGGGACGTACGGCAGTTCAACCCTTAAAACCAAGCGGCTGCACCTTCAGCAAGACGTTTAGCAAATACCATGAACGCCAAACCATTAAACGGCGGACTTGACTAAATCATGAGCACGGTCACGTTGTTGTCTTTCGCGTCATCGTGTTGGCGTCCCCGACATATTTTTCACTCTCTGTACAAGCCTCTAAAGTCAGACAGACAAATAGGCGCAGGAAACCGGGCAGTGCAATGCCTTGTTCCTTATTTGCAGACTGAGGTATTTTATAAGAAACATCCCACGCGTGGGACGGGAAACCGGTGCTGAGCGACCGTCCGTTGCGGCTGCCCGACGCAAAACGACCAAACGGCTTCCCCGAGGCACATGTCCTGGAAGTTGATGTTGTCTTTCCCGCAGACCAGTTAGAATTAGATTCATGCGCCAGGTACCTTTCAAAAATAATCGTGACAGTCTCCACGTGACTCTAAAAAGCTAAGACGGACCACAAAGACCCTTTGAAAATCTTTGAATAGAAATTGCGTAGATGTGCATTTTTGCTTGTGAATGTGCGTGCTTGTGTGTTTGCGCGCGCATGTGCATGCGTGTGGAGTTATCTCTTGTTAGACTACATTAATTGCATTTGTTTCGTTGCAGATGTCTACCCTCGATAGGTTTCCAGACTACAAGCGTGCGTTGGGGGGTAAGCCTGTCTGCTTCTCCGTGTCCGCAGCTGTGAACTACATTCAACAGAACCAGATCTACATAACGAGATTACCTCGGAGCGCAGTAAGTGATTGCGTGTCGGATTTGTGACCTATAGTAGGCGACAGGTTGAGATTTCCGCACAGAACATTTTCCGCTTTCCTTGAGAGAGCGCTAGAAAGCAGGCCAGATGGAACTCGCCTCCTCTCCTGCGATTGTTTTCCTAAAAGGCAAAAAGCGCAGGGTTTGCAGGAGAAGCTAGTTTTCTATTTCTACCTTGTCCACGAGTAGAAATTACAAGTCTGTTTGGACAAATATATAGAAGTGAAGAAAAAACGTTAGCCACTTCAGCGAAACTGTGTTTGAATCTAAGCGGCTGCTAATTATGAAACAGGTATTTCGCTTCTTCTTCCGAAAGCATTAACTACGCATAAAACATGTCAAGCAACACGTAATCTACTATAATATTGGGATGAAAAATATGACCGATTAATTTTTTAGTATGTCCGCAACGAAATGCACAGAGTACTGAAATATGAGCAGCCCCAACACAGAAAAAAACTGCTTTCAGGGCACATGCTCATTTCGAACAAGACTAGGATAAACCTCCGCACTTTCATAAACGAATGAATGTCGGAAAAGAGCCACGGAAGGCCAGAATACAACGCTGGCCTTCGCCTCTCGGTAAAATCCGTTGAAATTCCTGCTATCTTGGGAGGGTGCGCGTCGTCTTCCCAAGGCCGTACCCGCCGTTTGGACATCGAGACATTGTAAGCAATAACAAAAAAAAAAAAAAAAAGAAAAATTGCTCCACGCTATAGTACGAAAGTACGGAATTAGAGTAAGCGATCGCGCATCTAAAATTTGGATGTACATTTTGAATGAACGGATGGATGGATGGATGCGAAGGGCTGTGCCCTCTATAACTGGCTGTAGCATGCTCCACCTAGCCTTGAATGCAAAGACGGGAAACATCGCTGCCTAACACATGAAATCAGTCACACCAAAATATTATATGGCATTATGAACCTAGTGGCTCGTTTTAGCGCTCCGGTCTCAATACGTTTATCTAATAATAGTACCAGAACGATTTTTTTTATGATACCTAATACCGATACGAAAAGAAAACAAGGAAGATGTGTGGTTCGGGACAGAGGAGCAAGCTGGCGGTCAGTTCGCTGGAGGCAGTGTTTCGGGTGGACGCAAATTAAAGATGCAGATAAAAGAAGCCAAACTGCGCAGGCTGCAGCTGGTTAGGAAACACCATATTCTAAACCCCGAGATTCTGAGTAAATAAAATTAGCGACAAGACGACACAAGGACTTGAACGCAGCTGCATTTATTTGCAAGAGAACAGCAATCTATAGCCGTCCATACGGAGAGAAAGGGAAGACAAAAGACATACCACTGCAAAAATTGGACAGACCTCAGCCAGAGAGACTAACCTCCAACCTAGGCACCGCACCAACCCCAGACACACGCAGCGAAGCAACCCCGAGAGAAGCGGAGCGACCTCCCTCCCCCCCCCGTAACCCGCCCACCCCTCGACGCCACCAAACACAAAAAACAAAAACACAAGACTCAAAGCAAAATAATTTTTTTTTTCTCGCAAGGAGCTAAAGTATGCAGTCGAGCTGGTCGGGAAACATCGGAATCTAAACACTGAGACAAGGAGAAATAATATAACGGACTAATGATCCGGCCGTTACGGTGTAGGACGTTTCGGTGCGGTCTTTTCGGTGCACGGACGTTTCGGTGCACGGACATTTCTGTGTACGGACATTTCGGTGCATAGATATTTCGGTGCACAATCATTCAAAATCTTGAGATTTTGTTTAACGTAATAAGCATTAATTTAGGCAGAAGTGATTTTTTCGCATTTTATAAATTTGTAGGCTTGATCATCTATTTAGGTCACTTTCTCATATAAAATATAAGTGACTTTGTAAGGCGCAGCACCATGCTGCGGGAGGACTGGGTACGTTGGACGTTATGTTTATTTCACCGGTGTCTCATTTCCAACGTTGCTAGACGCATCACAAAGTATTTACGCTTTGGGTAGGTACAGGCGTTCTCGGCGCCTTCTGTAAAGGTGTGGGTTTTATTATTGGTAATGTGTGTAGGAAAGGCTCCAACAGCAAGAAGCTTGAGATTGTTGAAAACTACTCGAGACACGTGATGTGACTAGTGCGCACGTTGGGAAAGAGACACCGACAAACGAAGCATAACGTCTAACGCCTCCAATCCTCACGCAGGATGGTTCTGCGCCTAACAGAGTAACTTAGGTGGTATGGTTGTTTTAGCCAATAAACAACTTTGAACCTTTTTATATCAGTAAGTGGCCGTAAATAAATGACCAAGTCTAAAAACGGTAAAGTGCGAAAAAAAAAAAAAACTTTCAGCTAAAATAGTGCGTATTACGTTTAGAAATATGAAAAAAAAACTCGTTATTTTGATTTCTCATGTACCGAAATGTCCGTCCACCGAAATGTTAGCGCACCGAAAAGTCCCACACCGAAAAGTCCCTGCACCGAAAAGTCCGTGCACTGAAAAGTCAGTGCACCGAAAAGTTTGAGCACCGAAAGATCCGTGCACCGAAAAGTCCGCACCGAAACGCCCTACACCGAAACGGCCTACACCGAAAAGCCCTAGACCTCTTGTGCAATATTTTATTTATCTTTGTCTCAGGGTTTAGATGAAGATGTTTCACGCTTTCGTTCAAGAATATAGACGGCTAGCTTACGCAGTTTCTGGGGTCCAATCGCTTTCTTTACTCAAAATTGAAGTTTCCCAGAATAATGGCGAGCGCGCCTTACATTCAGCATTATGTTTTGCTAGTTCTGATGATAGAGATAAATTTGTCGCGCTTCCCTTGAGTCCTAAGAGGCGGTCATACACCCCCCGACCCGTCTGGCCCACGTAGCAGTGTCCACAATCGAACGTAAGCGGTAACAGAACTTCCTTGACGCAGTCAATTGGAGGATCCCAATGCGTCTTCACACAGCCCCACCCTCGCTCAAACGCAAGCGGTGTAAAGGCCCGTTCACACACTTGCGGGTTCATAAGGCTGTATGTCTTGAAACCGCTTAAGATATTTTAAGACGAGAGAACACACTGCACACTGGTGGCACCTGTCGAACAACCGTAGACACTAGGCAGTCCCGTATATTTCCTTTTTTTCCGCGTAGTACGTGCACTTGACCTCGCAAATACTGCAAAACCTTCGCTCTAATGAAATGTCGTTCCAGGGTCACCACATAGATGGCGCCAGCGTGCGAGTGTGTCTTATCTACAGAGCCTAGATTGTGAAGAGGGTGCAACTGAAACCATCGGGAGCGTTTGCAATTTAATGTCAAATCCTTTTGCAGAGATTGATAGCAGGCAAAAAGGCCGAGACGTTTGCAGACGATCAGCGTTTTTGCCCAACATCGCAGGCTGGGGCAAAACGCTGATCGTCTGCAACGCGTTCTGTAAAACACGGGACCCCGATTGAGCAGTTGGAAGCTCTCTCTAATGCAGGCTCTAGTGTTTTCTCGTCGTAAGAAATTTTAAGAGATTTCAAGGCTCTAGGTCCTAAGATGTCACAAGTGTGTGAACGGGCCCTAAGACTGCCTAACCGGACCGTCCTAAAAACTACATTTACTTCGAACGTCTGAGCCAAAGCTCTTATAACATGCGAAAACATGTGAAAGTACGGAGTCACAACAACGATTTTCTTTGGAGCTCCCTCAAATCTTTTCGGGCTTTCTACAATTTGTCTGCGCAAAGTTTATCCAACAAAATCAAAAGTATATCCACCTAACCTAAAACGCTGCAACTGTCTCACTAGCGCACTGCCGACGCAATGAGCGCACGACATTTTTCAAAGTATTACAGGTAATTACAGGTCTATAAGGAACATTAGGACACCGACGCCAGAATGACCTATTGGCGAGGAGATCAAACTGTAGGTGGAACAGTTTAATTATCATATCATCACCAGGAACAATCGCTGTGTGGCAAACGACTTTGACGCTAGCACTCACCTAGCTTACGCCGCATCGTTTCCGCGCTCGCTGTACATTCGTTTGCAGCGATATGGTGAGCGCTAGCTGCGTACCGCACTGCTCGAAGCATGCCCTTAAACTGGGTATATGCACCGCGGAGGACTGCAGTACGTACGCGACGATACGGACACTGTCCGCCGTCGGCTCTGCTGCAAAGCTGCACTCGATGACCTGATCAAATTTGAGCACGTCCTCTACTTTCAACGATACACTCTTTGCTGTCGCCGGTGCTGTCCATGAATGTCGCAAGAGACGAGGTAACTGAAAAGTGATGTGCGAGTTTCGTGAATTTTATACAAAAAAAAAAAAAAAAATACGGACGCCGCGCTGGCCACGGACGATCCAGCGCACACGGCCGACACGACTCGGCTGCCCGGCACGCCTGCGCTCCGCAGAGGCGGCCGCAGGTATCTACAGAGAGGGGGGGGGGGGGGGGGGGGGGAGGGGGTTCGGTGTGTTATGTATTTGATACCCCCCCCCCCCCCCCCCCTCCCCTCCTCCCGTTTTCTCGCCCTTCGAGCCCATGGCAAACTCAAGGCGGGCAGGTATAGTGGACCAACTAGCCCAAACCAAAGTTTTAATGACTCAAGGCGGGCGTCTGGACATCCGCACTCCACCTGTGTAAGCCAGCCGTCTATATATTTAAACAAATATGTAAAAGAGTTCCTTTTGTTGTGAGTCCTTTTGTGTTTTTGTATAGTGTTGTTGGCGTTGCCAATGGGTGTGTGGTCCGCGGGGTTGGAGGGGGAGATTGCTGTCTTTCGCTCGGATCACATAGCCTTGACGGGGATTGGCTTGTCGGCTAGCTTGGCGGCGGTTCTCTGCTCTTGGTGCGGTGTCTAGGTAGGAGGTCAATATGTCTGGCTGAGTTGGCGAATCTCTGCGACGGCGTGTCTTCTGTCTTCCTTCATCGCGGTCGTGTGGACGGCTTGTCCTATAGTTCGGTAAGAGCGGATGGAGGGTTATTTTTCAGTGTTTATTGGAATTTACCAAAAAAACACTGATACAATGTAACTTGTAATTATCTTCGGTCCACAGATCCAAGATATATGCACCTAATAGTCACAGGCTTCGTATAGACTACCTGAAAGATCCAAAAAATACCGTATTTCCCGGGCTATAGTCCGCCGAATATACATGTTTAAAAGTTGAAATTTTAGTCTGGGCGAACTATCAATGCGTGCGAACTATACAGGATTTTTTTTAAAGATTGTTCATTACGAGACGCGATTTATTTTGTGAATGAAAGAATGTTAATGATGATTTATGTTTAATGCAAGTTTCTTTGTGACCTAAGAACGCAGACATTTGTCAAGATGTTTCGTGTATGAGAAAATGTTCGTGTTAACTAAGCACGAGGGGCGGACTATGCACCGCGCACGGAATATGCACCGGCTGCAGATTACCTAAGCAAAAACTTTTTTTTTTTGTTACATAAATTTCCTCCTGCGGACTGTACACTGGGCGCGGACTACAGCCGGGAAAATATGGTACTTTGGCGTACGCAACCCGTGTTGGAATCTGCATTCAACTCTATTGCACTCAGTTATTTCATCTTCACTGCGCTTTACGGATCCTCCGTAGCATTAGTGGCGCTTTGTTATATTGGACATTGCACTGAATAAGGAAATTTAAGACAATAGAGCGGAGTGTCAATTCACAGTGAATGCAGTTGAGCAGCTTAATATCGGTTGGCCATGTTCATAAATTGAACTACAAATAAAGCCTATGTGATTACTAGTCTGCCAATGTATTAAGTGGAGTTCCAAGGCTGTAAGGTTTCATTTATTTTCACTCTTAAAATATTCTGACAGGCATCTTCTATAGACTTTCTGAACGGTACTGAGAAAGCGGATATTTTATATTTTAATAAAAAATGTGTTTTAGCAGCCGAATTTTTTTTTTTTTTTTAGTTTTGAAACGTTTAGGCCGGTTTTAACGGCCGGCTCTAACAACCGGCTGTAACACAAACCGACATCGAAGAGCGGTACGCGTCCAGAAAACCAGATAAAAAGACTTCAGTCCCCGGCAGTACTTGAACACCTTTGACAACTAAGAAATTTGTTTGTTTATTTTTTTTTTTTTTGTTTTTTTGCGTGGCAAAATAGATTTTTAGCTTCGGTGGGTGCTGCACGAGAAATCGAACATAATGGTGCGGTCGCGCGCTTCGCGGCCTTTCAGCAGTCATTCTGCACTATATCATGGCGCGTGTCGAGAATGGGAGCGAATCTTGGTAGACAGTTCTGATCAGACGCCCTTCGTTTTTTCCCAGGAAGGCGCATCACACAATCTGTGCCATACCAATCTTTCTCAAACATGATCAAACTCGTTTATTTTAAGTTGCGTACTTCAAGATTTAAGGTGACTTGTATTTTGCAGCTCTGCAATCACACCTTCACTCAAAAGTGGGGCCCTATCCACGGGTTCGACAACATTACTAAAACGCATTACTTAACTGACCGCTTCACCCGTCTCTACTTTGAGGAAAGGAACCTGTTTAGACAAAAGGTAAGTATCATCGTCATTGGGTTTTGTTACATCGGCCTTTATCGAGTGTAACCAAACTACGATTGATTTCAGATAAAATTTTGCATCTAAATTTATTTATAGTACTGCTTCCATATAACTCAAATGCATTACAAATTTCTACTGGGAAAGAAAAATAAACAAATATTAAAATTTCCTCGAAGATATGTAGCGTCTTTGCTTTGAAATGTTTATTTGTGCATAAAAGAAAATGTGTTATTTATTGACGGGTAATTGTGTTGTCATTATCAATATGTTGACTGTATAAATCGCTGTTTAAAGCGTGCAATCCCACATGGTTGCTCCGGTAGCGGCCCCGCAATATGCTTCAGAATGCTGATCGTAAAGAAGTGGAGACCGTTCTCCACTCCGGAAAGTGCCTTATATATTTCTATAACAAGAAGATTTGGTGGTTTCCTATAATGCCCCCGGGAAGTGTCTGTTTGAAAACATAACTTTACGAATTAGAAGGTTGGTCTGTAGAGAGTAATTCACAAAATAATTAAAACAAACTTTATTCGTGTTTTCCAAATGACCAACGCCACATTAAATGGACAATGACAGGGTACTTACGTATGCCGATCTTTTTTATTTGAACACAACTTATGAGAGTCCGACTACCCAGAACACAATTTGCGGCTCAAAGTTCTAATCCTTTCCAGCCAGAAACCGCCTGTCGAGAATTGGATGTTTTCAGTCGCACTCATTGTCTTTTCTACAGTCACATGCCATTCCAACTGATGCAAACCAAATATAATGAACGTCGTGGGTTGTCTAAGACACACATTCAATATTAAAAAAGAAAAAAGTAGTAACCCCATTTTGGTGGCTTCCAAAAAAACTGCAAATAAGTTTATTAAAACAAAAAGATGTTGCATAGATCACGGGCAGCACCTGTATTAAGTCATTCTCAATATGGCGACGTACCGCTGGCTAGACGACGCGATGGCGGCGCGCAAAGAACCAGTGTTGCGATTGACGTGGGAACGCTACTTCGAAACTGGGGCTCGCGATACCGGTCAATCGATCCTCAAGCACAGAACAGCGAGCGGATGGGATGTAAATGCGGAACAATCCCATGACAAACGGTTTAATCAACCTCTTGGATGTCGTTGTCTGCTTCACACGCTGGAAAAAGGGACGAACGGGAAAAACGGCAGGGGACGATAATCACGTGACTTCCGGCAACTCTCTCCTCTGAGCTTCCTTGCAAATATTTCAATTTCTGTTTTAAACAAATGCGTCTTTTTTTTTTTTTTTTGGTGGGGGGGGGGGGGTTATTTAGAAATATACGTGACTATTAAGCAAAGTATTGATCGGGTATTATTCCGACATCATATTAAACCACTTGGCAAAAATTAAAAAAAAAAGAAAAAAACATTTGGCGAATATCAGTGCCCTTTAATTTTTTTTTTCTTCGTTTTCTCTCCGAAGCGTATTTTTCGCAAAAATTGTATGATGTTTTCGATATAAAAAAAAAACAATAAAAGTTTTAAAAAAATAAGTTATCACTTCAATAGACCGATCTCCCCAAGCGAACTGCGGAGGCTCGCGCATTCCGGAACTGGTGTTGCCGCCACGCTACATGTGGTCCTCGCTTTCCGGCTTCCCGGCTGCATGGGGCTCAGATTCTCGTACATTATGGTACACGATTGTGTGTAACGCTTCGGTATCGGATTGGAGTTTCCTAGAATGTGTATACCTCATAAAGTTTTTTTTTATGTTCTACTTTGTCAGCAAGCGCAGAAACAACAGTTACAGGCGTCTTATCACTCTAGAATCGCTCCTTCGTCTGCTGCCATGTTCAAGTCGTTCACGTGATAGTCCCGTGTGGCGGCCTGAAAAAATAACGGCGCCACTACTTGAGCAGTCGGCTGCTCCGACGTCTTAATGAACTCGGAAGCAAGTGAACATCTGGTTCAATTGCAAAGAACAGGAATATTCGAGGGGCCATCGGCTCAGTGTAACACAGCGGAACAGCATAAGATATGTCGGTGGGAAACGAAGCTTGGTAGTGCTCATGCTTTGTGCCTAACGTTTAATCGACATGGAAGTGAAGAGAGCTAAATAAACTTTCTCTTGGAGCGATAGTGTTGTTTTTTTTTTTAGCTTGTTTTATTTTAGCTGACACCCTGTGTGGTGGGGCACAGGTGAACTGAGGGGGAAGCATGCACACAATCAAGAATCTATCAACTGAAAGACCTTGCTTGACGCGCTATAATAACTGGCGCCTGTCAAAAACAGCAACCATGTCAGATACCTAAAAACATTGGGTGGAGATAAGTTTTCGTGTACAATCCTTGTGAAATTTGATTTCGTTTGCGCAAGCTCCGAGCGGTAACAGCCGCCCGATGGTGGGAGTTTTTTTTTTATTTCTGCGGTCTCGCTTCGTGTTAATGCAGAACGGATCAGTAACGCCAGCCATAATCAAGTTCTGGCACTATAGAACACCATAAGATGGGTGAGGTTCTTTTGCTAACTTTTCGGCGGTACGTTTTGCACGTCTAAATTGTTTAACCTTGTTTTTATTTATTAAACGGCTTTTCAAAAAGTTTGTTTTATTTCAAGCGATTCGTATCGGGAATCACTACATTTAGTGTGATCGTTCTAATCATTTGAAACACAGTTGGACTTGAAACATACTGTCGCAATAAAAGTCGAATCCACCCAACTACGCTGAGCAAAACATGTATTAAAACGACCGTTGCAAAGCAGCGCAGACGTCACGATTTAGAGACCGCTACAGAACCAGTGCTTAGGGAGATTCCAACGTACGAAACACTTCGGTACGCGTCTATGTTAATCGAAAAACAATTTTTTTTTCTTAAAAACGCTTTTTTTCCTCTGGCTCTGCCCGGCTCCATTTTCCTTTCTTAATCACTCTTCTCGAAGGCTGCTTTCTTTCCGGAAAGCATAAAATTCGATGCAGTTTCGCCTGTTGCTGTTATTGTAACACGTCGGCACAGAAAGGGTGAAGCCACTCATGGGAAACCGCGATTAAGCACCCGACTAAAAGTCTCGTGCTAACCCGAAGAATTTCCAAACGCCGGGCATACGACGCACACCCAGACTTGTACACGTTACTGAAAAATAGTAAGGAATTACATTTACAATTACTCAAGGCTAAATTGTAGTTTATTACAATTACAATTACCCTCTCATAAAAGTAACTAACCGTTACTCCAAAAAGTAATCCGTTACTTTCGTGGCGTTACTTTTGACATTACTGTCCTCAAGTAAGAAACAAAGAAAAGAGGGTTATTCAAGTCCTTATTGTTCCAACGTGTTCCATTTAATGACCTTGAGTATTTTGAGCAACTGCTGGCTCTCGAAAGTCTCGTCAGATATTTTGCACTATCTCTTACTCAATATGCCGACTGCTACGCTGAACACCATTTGAGCTGAGGCACTGGATGGGAGTGCCATATTGTTCCTCACGAATGCTTCATGCTCTGCACTGAGCTTTTTCAGCGAAGCAAGGGAAGTACTATTTACCTCGAATGTAGAGCAAAGCTTCGTCGTTGCAGCCGTTGCTTGCTATTCGAGAGATTTAGTAGATCCTTCTGATACCTCGTATACTTGCGATAACGGTACCCGATAACGATATGATGCATACGCAAAGACGGCGGCGAAGTATCGGATATCGTTATCGGAGTCATCGGACCGATCTACTAAAATTCTCCATTGTCTAAATCGCGAAGCTGTGGATGTTATCAATAGCAAAACATAGTTGTAACAGTAAGGTGATAATTAAATAAGAAATAAGGTTTGGTTCGATATTCTTCTTCCTTTGGTTCTGAACAGTTCGAGCCTCACTTGAGACGTTGGTGAATAAGAAGAAGTTTCCAGTATATACATATAAGTAATAAAAGAAAAGGAAGGACACTCATAATAACAATTAATTAGAACGTCGGTTAAAACAAGGAAATGTAAATGTGCGTTTCCCATGTGTACCATTCTTGGTGCCGTTCAAAAAAGCACGGAGCACGAACCGACAACAGTTTACTCCGGTGTTCTCCAGGAGTCCAGATAGACGTCCGCTGATGCCACGGGCAGCAAAGGGTAGAGTACTACTAAGTAAGCGGCACCCCACGAATTTCACTCTCTCCTCAAGCCCAGAATATCAAGTCTACGTCAGTCACCAATATGTTTTATTTGTAAAAATATCTGCTTGAGATAAGGTGCGTCCTGCTGGGGCAAAGCAGGACGAAGAAGAAAGGAAGACTATTACCATTTTCTAAGTGCTCGCAAAAAGCTGACTCACAAAAAGGGTAGGGTAGACGGAGCGTTGTCTCGTGTTGTGACATTATGAAAATGGTCGTAGTCACTATAACCGAGAAGGACATTGTTAATTCTTTTCAGTGCACTTAGCGCCTCGAGCTTCTCGAAGACGCGCACAATCACTTGGTGTCCTCCTCTCCCCGTCATCGACCGCAAAGAAAAAAACAAAGGGACTAAAACGAACCGGAAAAAACTTGCCCCCCTCCCCCCCCTTTTTTTTTTGCAGAAATGTTCATTTGGATTTTTTTACATTGTTGTTAGGGTCTAAAAAAATAGTTCAGGGGCTTGGTGTTGCAAGAAAAGGCTTTGCGGAACTGAAGAGTGTCAAGTCTCACTTTGCGCTGGTCAATTCGCGTGACAGTGTCACTGGGCTGGACTTTACAAAAATGAGAAAAAAAAAGGGGGGGGGGGGGCGTGTCCTGAGAAAACAAAATGTAACGAATTACAAGGAATCCGTTTCGTCAAAAATGTATGGGAATTACTTTAAAATTACTCTACAAAATATGTTATTATTCCGTTACTAAATTACCGATAAATGTAAGGGATTACAAGTAATTTCGTTACTTGTAACGGATTACGTACAAGTCTGCGCACACCGATGTGGCCGCAAACGTGGGGAGAAGTGCAGGTACCAAAAAGCGCCTCCACAAAGCTGTCGCCGCGCAACTCCTGGTGAGATTGGTTTATTGGCTAGCATATCG